CGGCAGAAACACTCGAATCAAGCCACCTTGACCAAACGTTACCATGTAATGCTCTAATGGCCATTGCCCCTGTACCGTTGTAAAGAGATCACGTAGGTCGTAGATCCACATTACTGCAACCTTATGCTAGACTTAGTCTCCTATAAGTATAATACAGTATGATTAGAGATTATAGAGAAAGGTGCTGTGTATACTTTATCTCACCTTCTTGTATGGGTATGATTATTCGCACAGGACAGAGGTACGTTATAAACTTAAAGACGAAGAATATGTGTATAATTCAGCGTTTTTTGTCAAAATACAACACTCCAGTCTGATATAGAAGTGGGAGACGCAGGGGAAAGGCCTGTAGATAATGGACAATATTCTTAGTATTATGAGATATATTGCATAATTATTATGCATAATTCACCGCGGCCTTACTTTAAATTTTAATGGAGGTCGCGTCGTCCACGAACAGTTTATAGGCTATAGTGTACTTAAAGGTGACGTAAAGACTTGAGCACAGATTTAACTGGGTTAAAAGCTACTATTATTTGGGTCTTGGGATGTGGGATTATGTAGATACAAACTTTTATCCGTGCATATCTCTGAGGCTGGAACTCGTAAACTATCAATCTGGTCTTGGCCGTAAGCCGTTATAAAATAACTGTGGTCTAAGAATCTGGAATATTAATCATTAATGATCAATATTACTAGACCAGCTGATTTCTCATAAGCTTAACTCTTAATAATTCTTCTCGGTAATAATATTATTATCAAAATAGTAAATACTGAAGAAAACATACGATAAGCTGCAGATCTTCTACGTATAAGATTTAAGAATTCATAAATTATATTCAATTACATGCAGAATAGATCATATAATGTCCTTATCATAACCACGTGATTTGGAGAGTATAACAGCAGACCACAACGTGCGCGCCTCATTATAACGTGGACCATCTCCAGAATCCACTGATGATTGAGCCATTTAACCATTTTCTACGAGTTGCGTTTGAAATTACAAAATTACAAAATTTATTGCAGTATTTCAGATACTGCAGTAAATGTGCAGTATTTCATATTTGACTTTAATGTGAATATGCGACATCTGACATCGGGTGGTTTGGTTTCCTAGAGAAATGAATATCTGGTTTTCAAGTCTTCAGTTGGTGAGACGTGATTTATATAACTGTGGGTGAAATTATAATCATTTTGATTCCCTGAATTTGAGCAAATTAACTACGGTTGATCATTCCAACATTTTTTTCTTTGGAAGCATTTAAGATATAACGAATTGAGCTTGAGTGCCACTGCCCTTTTTCTACGGAAGCTTTTAAGGAAGAGGAGCAGTTTAATCGTAGACAAAGTTAAAGTTTCTACATTATTATACTATATTAAGATTGCGTTATAAATTAATATATCGTTCTTGGATGACACGAATTGCGCCGCACGTTCTAATATTTCTCAAAAAGACTCATCGGGCAAGAATATCCAGATTAATTCTACGATCACAAAATATCACTTATCAGCTTATCTTTGAATATTTATTATCAGATACCATATGAAATATGTGATATGGAATTATGAATGGATTTTGGAAAACATTATCAGTAGCGATATTGCTTAATTTCTTCTTGATCACACTTTTTAAAAACTACACACTGATACTAATAAATTAATTACTAAAAGATAAAAATTCAAGAAATGATACTGAATACTGATTATAGTACAACGTTGCATGTTCATATTATCATGATATATATTCAAGAAACTGCAGAAAGTAACTGAACCGTGACCCTAGACCGTGTAAGTAAACCTATAATTAATAATTATATATATTATATTATTCAGTACTATAGCTTACGTGAGACAAGATAATTCTAAACCACCCTGTAGGTTGTGATCAATGTCACATTGTGCGACATCATACGCTCTATATATCAATATGGAGGTGTGTAATACTAATAATCACTTCATTATACACCTGCGGTTAAAATCCGGCCGTTTTAACTTTGCCATGACATGTGACCACACTGACCAGCAGACCATCCGTAAAAATCACGGTAACCTAACAACGCGCCGTAAGTGTAACCTAACAACGCGGTAACCTAACAACGCGCCGTGATACTCACGGTAACCTATAAACAACGCGTCGTGATACTCATTCAATTGCAACGTGAGTGCCTACTAGCTTACTAGTCCGCAAGAGTATTCTGTACTTATAAGCAAAACATCACGTGATTTGGACTAATGAATTAAAACCAATTTGATCGTGATTCCAACGAATATAGGGAGTGAAGATACAACTAAACATTAAAAGTAAGCTCAGGTTAGTTGAGACCCGAATAATTAAAGGAATGGATCGTTAGATAGGTAGTTAGGTACTGGTTTGGTGTCAAATAACTACAATGTACAACAAGAAATGGTATTGGTGTATTGGAGTACATCTGAGCAACTAGAATTAGAACGGGTCCCGCCGTCCCGGTTGCATACTGCAGAAAATTGCGTTCTATCCGTAACTCCGATTGCCATCAAATTCAATATCATGGCGTATGTATCCAGTTCTACAACAAACAATAAACAATCAAGAAATTAAAACGTTTCGAAAGGATGCCCAAATAAGCGTACAGTTTCGAAACTATTAACTAAATACACAAGTTAGGTGACTAACGCTAACCAATAAATAGACTGAGATGGGCCCATTTCAGTGTTTCTCTACAATTAGTACAACTACAATGCAGTTTTAATTTTGGGAAAGGTTTTTTAAAACGTAGATCTTTAAAACAAAACACGCGTAGACCTTTTGGCATTTGGCGAAATAGTAAGCTGTTATATGTCGGGAAACAGATAATATTTATGATCTGTCAAGCATCAAGGTACGATCAGTGTATGAGGGGTATAGCATATATATATATAGACATAGTGGTTCAGATATTGTCACGTGATAGTAATACCTCTCGCTGCTGCAGCTGCCGTCCACTGAGTATTGTTATAAACCTCCGCCTCCATTAAAATAAGAGTACGGGTTGCCTGTAACAGGTTCTGTAACGAAAGAGAAATAATCCATACTAGATCTTGAGAGTCGTATCAGAACGTTTAGCGGACCTGCGGACGCATCTCTGCCAATGGTAAAGATACGAGGATAATAAGGCTTTATACTATTACTATTTAACTATGATGACATAGTTTTAAATAGAAAACAGGACCAGCGCTCTTAAAGACACCTTTAATAAAGGTGTCTTTATGAGCGCTGGCCGCTGGTCCTGTTTTCTATTTAAAACTATGTCATCATAGTTAAATACATGGTACTTTAAGGTAAAATTAAAGTAAAACCTTTGTACGTCTTACTAGTTACTGGACGGCACCATGCAGTCTCTCACTCCGCCATATCGTATCAATTTTTTAAACATTTAAATTTAAGCATCTAAGTCAGACTAAAACTAAAAAGTCTTAGTCTGACGACCAGCTGTAGACATTAGGGTAGACATTAGGGTAGACAAGTTTTGTGGGGTAGGGTAACAATTAGATTTAGAGAACGAGTTACTGTTAGGTCGTTAGGAATATAATTGTTAAAGTTATATTAGGGTCCTTTCACATATTGTTTCAGGTATGCAATAAAACGTGCGCCGTGCTGCCGAGCAGTTCACATAACCAATAACCATGACGCGTACTACGTGACGTGCGCTACTGGCACGTGACGTGACGTGCGCTACTGGCACTGCAAGCGCGGGGCCGGCTCTAGTTAGAGTAAGCCGAGCAGCAACAGCACTAGGGCAATGAGCGGTTACAAAGTTTTGTACTCCTAATGTTGTCCAAATAGTGAGCAATATCTAACACAAATACTCATACGGAAGAAAAGCTGAAATTAAAAAAGAATGGCTGAATAACAAACGCTAGCCGATGTTTAACTAAGTAGAGTAGCCTGTTGTCGTCACTCCGACACTCCTATAAACGCACCATTTGCTTGTTTGCAGAGGTAATCAATTTGAATTGTAGATGCTTCTAGATCGTCCGGATCTAACTGCATTAGACAGAAAAGCATCTTATTCTACCACAATTTCATCCAAACGTGCGCTATTATCTCATAATCAATAATTTTACCTCAAAACCTAGACCTAGTTCAAGTTGTTTTGCTAATAGTAATACTGAATACACGATGTTATTTCTGGGTCACAAACGGACGGAATAAGCTGCAGATGGAAATCAGATTGAGTGGTAATGGAAGGTGGTAATCAATATTGTTACTTTGTATTTGCTCAATTATACTCGAGTATCATTCAGCCATATCCGATACAGGGATGACCAGTGGCAGTATTATAAAGGCCCGGCTGGGAGTTTGTAATTATCTAATTGCACTAATAGCGGAGCACTGGCCGGTCGCCATGGGTCCGTGCAGGAAAGCAGAGGTAGCAGTGATATTCTCCCGGTCACTATGGATGTGGGCTGAACAGTGAACTAACAATCATTACATCATTTTCTTACAATTTAGTTGTATGAGTTCATACTAAAAGGCTTACCATTAAATTAGAAATTTGATCCTTTCGAGACTCAAGCTGAGCCCTACTATAGGCCAGTAGGGATCAAAGGGTTAGCCATAATATAAAAGCTGGTCGAAAATAAAAACATTGAACGCGTGATCTACTTAAGTTTAAGGTCCTCACAACTTGGTATAATACCACTGTCACAGCATTTCACAAACTGAATTTAGGCGAACAAACTTTAATAGTTTTAATACTAATAGTTCAAACTCCCGTGTACAGGGAACGATAATTTTAAAGTATTTATTGTTAAACGGTTTTGGTGATCCCGTCAATAATTCTAAACGTACAAAATCACATTTCCCAAGACAGGGCATTGCTTAGCTTAATTAGGTGAATTGGACGTACTTAGAAGAACGAAATACCATAAACTAAGATGGTGATGGGAGATTGTAACGGATAAATTTTTATTAGTTTTATATCATAACTAGAAACGATTCCCAGAGGGAGATTGGAATTTTTAAACAATTGAAATAATTCTTAAATTAATCGTTTAACGAATTAAAATGTACATACAGTCATATCATAGTGGAGAAATTCAAAACATTTAACATATTTAATCAACCTGCAATAACTTAAAACATCATTAATATCCAATCATAATTGATAACGACGCGAAAAAATGAAAAAAGTGTATAAAATAAGAAGTTTGGTAGCTTAATGTGTAATAAAGATGCCGTCATCAATCATTGGATAATTTTCTAAAATGTTATACATAGTCATACTCATTAGTCATAACTATAATTATCATATTATAATTATCATTATATGTTATATAATGATTATTATATAATTATAAATTAATAATCAGTTTCCAATAAAAAACCAGGGAAATCTCTATGGTTGCAGAAGTTTTGACTAAATTTTAACGAGCTACAAGAAATTCTCGAAATGGATGTAACCTTCCCCCTCCTGAACCGTTCAACGGATTATAAAAATTTAAAACTTTGATTAAAACAGTGTCTGTTCATTGTTCATTGTTCATTCCCTTCAATATTTAAACCTTCTCATGTCACAATACCAACTAACTAGCGCATTACTTAGGAGGGAAAATGATTCTAAGGCGTTCCAAAAACAACCAAGTTAAAATTGTCTGAGGGCTGAGTCTGATCCAAGCGGGCACGAAACCTTTATAGAACGCAAGAGGGCCCTCTTTGGCGGTTGCCACGATAACCTCTTTTATTGAGTTAAATTGTGTGCCCTGCATAAGCCTGGTTTTGATAACATCCACAGGTTGTGTCAGAGTGGTTGCCATGGTACCGGCGATAAAGCTCGATAGAAAGTGAAGTGGGATACCTTCTTCTAAAATACCCAAACTGAGCACACCTTGTTTCGCCTGGTCGTAGCAAGCCACCTGACCAATGTTTATCAGGATGGAGCGGGGAATGTTAGCCTGGAGACCCCGGTACAACGCCAGAACTCCCTCGGATCGTACTATGGTGGCTAGTCCGTGGAATACGTTTCTGTAGCCCAGTCGCTTAGCAACCGGCAACCTCATGTCATTCTGCATTCTCACGTTAACCACATCAGCAGGGTTTCCTGGAGGAACCACCAAGTCAGATACGTGGTCAGATTGTTAACTTTAGGTTTTCGAACACTTTATAAGTTCTTTACAAACGTTTCAGCAGTAATAAGTGCTAATTCTATTGTTATTTACATGCTTCACAAAAATCAAAAACGAAAGTATAGCTCCCAGATATGGCTCAGCTTTCGTGATAATAAATAATAAACAAAAGAGTAAGATTTGAAGCCAATAGTGTGGCAGGGCTTTAATTTATCTAACAAATAAATCTATACACAATAATCACATTATAATGGAAAAAAGTGATTTGTAATGTTACACTAAAAACTGAGGTGATATTTAATTGGAGACTGGAGGGCTTGTGCAATGTGCACTCATTTCATTGATTTACGAACTACATCAAAATTCAATTCAGCCGTTTGGTGGTTTATTAATCGGCATACGTAGTTCCGGTTAGAAAAGCGTACAAGGACATGATACCATTGGCGTTAATAGAATCATTTTACGAATAGGTATCACTAAAAAGTTAGAAAGTGATTCTCGAAAATTGAAACTTTTATCCCCATAACACAGTGCCCACCCATACCAAAGTCATAAATCCACCCACAGAAATTTAAAACATAAATCATTAGTACCATCAGTAGAATCCATCCAAAAATAAAGATCAAGGGAATATTTAAAACCAGGTCAACATGCGAATTGCGTTGTAATCATAGTCAATACAACAGCAAGATAAATTGTAATTTCAAAATCATGAGAATAGCTCAAAGTAAATAGCTAAAGTTACAAGACTTTTTTCCAATCAAGCGTGCTCAAAATCTTACATGCTTCAAACTAGGTACATACCACAAAATCACACTGAATTAAATAAAATCATCTCACTGGTGAATGGGCAATGGAAATTTGAAGAGAACCAAATATTAAGCAATCTAAAACTAAGTAAGACTATTTAGTAAGAAACCACCATGCGACACGCTTTACTCCACAATTAAAGTTAAAAATGAGATTTCAATTAGCCACACAAGAGCTTTGAATGAATGGAGACAGACATGAGAGGTGTGGTACAATAATTGTTCTAGCAAAATCAGCTAGCAAATAAGCATGCGGTTATAAAATAACTATAATTTAAATAGGAGACTCTTACCCGCAAGAATTCCTATAGCTCCTCCCCCAGCAGCCAGCATAACCTGAAATTAATACAATATTAATTTAATATAATAAATATAACATTATATAAATCCTTATTAATTTTAAAGTTCGTTTCCGTGGAGTTAGTTGATTAAATTGCAGCGAATAATTTGACGATCCCATTACTATTTCTATTAGGAATATTCATATTATGGTTCGGTGGATGGAGGCTAGGCTGAGGATGATTGCAACATATTTGATATTTGGGGAATTCGAGATTTTCTTTACTTTTTTTTTATTTGAAAATTCAATTAATTATTATATATATAAATCAAGCGTTACATTTCAGCCATGCAAAATTACAATGACATATTTTGATATACTAATTGATAAATGGAACTGCAATATAAATTGCTTAATGTTTGGCCGGATGACAACTAACTAAAAGAGAAAAATAAACTTGATTACATAATAATTAATTCGGCTGAACCAACACATAGCAAGAGCCACATTAACGTTGGGGCCGTCAAAAAAACTTTACAGGAAAACTTAAAGATCAATTCACAGTACAAGGATCAAAAGTTCTCAAAAATTATATCCTGTTTTTCAAAAAATTAACACAGTAAAAATACCCAAAATGTCATCTGAATAAACTTGCCTTAGTAGTGAAGGGTAAAGGTGTACCGTCGGCGGGGGTTAGTCGAGCACGTGCTACTTCATACGCTCCAAATCTCACGGAGGTGTAAGTAGCCTGGCGGCGGTAATTATTACATATCATGGTTTATACACAATATTGTGGATTTGTAGATTAACGTATTAGTATCATCCCAAATAAAATACATAATCTATAAATAAAATATTTTCACATCTACAAATAAATACATTTTAAAGAGGTGTATACTGTAGCTAGTCCACACGGCACACCCTAGCACCATAATATGGAGAATCTCTTTCACTTCTAGATTAAAAGCTCTGAAATAATAAAATTAAAAAGCAGCTGCAGTGAGGAACAATTTAATACCTGTCTTAGGACTGACGCTGAAAGACCACTGTATATCCCCATAATCCCGTTAGTTTTCAGAGTTTTCACAAGCACCCTGTGTACTGGATCTTTTCCTGGAGTTATTATTATCTGTAGATTTGTTAGTTATTATTTAATTTGTTAGTGCATATATATACATATATTTTAATTTACTGTTATTTCGATAGTACTTTATCGGTTAAAACTTAAATTGGCTTCATGGTTGATAGTGACACTGTTCTGCAGTGAAATTACACGAGTTACTCCAACTTGACTATAAATAATCGTACAATTTGGTACTTTTAAAAGCATATTTAAGTTTTTGCACCGATATAAACTCACATAGACTTGACAGACAATCGAAGTTGTCATGAAATACCATGTCGAATACGTCGGTTAAGTTGATGTGCGTCATGTCTGTCAATTAATGTCGAGACAGGTATAGTATGTTAAACATCTGATTCAAGTTTTTGTAACCGAGATACAACTGCTATACAACGACCACGATTGCTGACCATTTCAAATGATTCGGTCAAGTAGGCGGACGTCACGGTTATGAATAATCGTAAAATCGAGCACGTTAAAAAGTACATTTAACTTGAATAAGGTTTTTTTACGGAGCAATTAGCAAAACTGCAACAAACTTAGAGTTTAACCGTGCCGTTAAATTTACTGTGACATACAATTGGGACATCACCAATGGAACCAATATTGGGGATATAAAGTGACCATCTCCATAATAATCTCCATATTTACCATTTTCCCATGGTCAATAAGATCATTTCATTAATTAAACAAGTTTCAAAGTATTACAATAGATATTTTTAGTCTCCTGGATTTTGACTTGGAAAAAAGGTAAAATAACCGAAAAAATAAAATAAATTGGGTATACCAGTAATATAAATGAGTAACATACCTTGTTGAGTCTGGAGGTGGACTTTAATAGTATCTAGCGGGTGAGTGAAGAGGACAGCCATACAAGCCCCCATCCCACCCAAATACCAGCGCTGCTGCTTCTTGCTAGCCGTCATCTCCACTACAATTATTTAACAAATCAAACAAAAACAAAAACCATCTCCACTACAATTATTTAACAAATCAGACAAACAACTTTACTTTATTAAAAAACAAACCATATCAAACTACAAAAAATAGCTTAAATCAAAAAAATATACGATATAGAGTAGAGGGATTGGAAGAGAGACTCAACTTGGTGATGGCAATACGTGCAGAAAGGAAGCGAGAAAGCACCGACTACGTGATGAGTGTAAGTTGTAATATTATAATTAAGAGAGAGCTCCCAGAGGAGAGAGGAGAGGAGGTGCTTGGCTGAGACTTGTTGCATATCATTATCATTAGATCCCGTGTTATTATAATAGTTGGAGCTGTCACATCTAGTCTCTACTAAATAATCAGCTCACTTCTCATTACATGATACCTTTTAAGTTCTGATTACGATGTAACTGATAATGATAATTTTATGACTGATAATGATAATTATGACTGATAATAATAAGTTTCTCGAGTTAAGATAAGCTTGATGGGCCGATATTTCACGGCGTGGTGTTTGGCTTTAATTTCTTTTTAACATAATCGGATGTATAATTCGATTGTTATGCTCAAATTACCTAGCATGATAAATATAAATTGGCACAAATCCAACCGAAATAAATAAAACCGGCTATTTTATTAACTAACATGGAAATCATAATTATCAAAAACACATACTGCAATATAACATCTCAAAAGATCTCCATAAAACTGGATCGAGCAGAACTCGCAAACACACAACTGAACTTTAACATTTATTTTAGTTTAATTTATCTTTAGGAAGGGTCACAATAAGTTAATAAAAATTAAACAAAAGAGGCTTCGATATTCCTGGGATATGGTACTCTGCATTGTTCAGACAGCGTACAAGTACAGTACTATACACAGCTCAACAGGAAATTATAAACTATAGCAAAAGACAAAAATATTAAGAGTACCTAAGAACATTCCTAATTCGACAATCTAGCACCCAATATCAAAATTGTGGTAAAATAATATGCTTTTCTGTCTAATGCAGTTAGATCCGGACGATCTAAAGCATCTACAATTCAAATTGATTACCTCTGCAACAAGCACATGTGCGTTTATAGGAGTGTTCGGAAGTTCGACAACAGCACTCACTTAGTTAAACATCGGCTACGTTATTTAATTTTTTAAATTATGTTTTATGTTTGTTATTACACCATTCTTTTTTAATTTCAGCTTTTCTTCCGATGAGATTTGTGTTCGATAGTTGCTCACTATTTGGACAACATTAGGAGTACTAAACTTTGTAACCGCTCATGCCCTATGCTGTTGCTGCTCGGCTTACTCTAACTAGACCGGCCCCGCGCTTGCAGTGCCATAGCGCACGTCCACGTCACGTGCCATACGCACGTCACGTAATACGCGCATGGTTATTGGTTATGTGAACTGCACGGCAGCACGGCGCACGATTTATTGCATACCTGAAACAAATGTGAAAGGACCCTAATATAAACTTTAACAATTATTATTCCTAACGACTAACGTAACACGTTCTCTAAATCTAATTGTTACCCAACCCCACAAAACTTTTCTACCCTAATGTCTACCCTAATGACTACAGCTGTCGGCAATACTAAGAACATTTTATTTTAGTCTACATAGATGCTTAAATTTAAATGATTAAAAAATTGATACGATATGGCGAGTGAAGAGAACTGCAAGGTGCAGTCCAGTAACTAATAAGACTACAAAGGTTTTACTTAATTTTTACCTAAAGTACCATGTATTTAACCATTAAAACATAGTTTAAATAAAAACAGGACCAGACGGGCCACGCTCCATAAAGACCAAACCTTTATAAAGGTTCCTTAAAGAGCGCTGTCCTGTTTTTCTAATTAAAACAATGTCATCAAGTTAATATAGTACTAGTATAAAGCCTTATTACCTTCGTAATCTTTACCATTGGCAGAAACGTCCGCAGGTCCCCCGCCCCTATAAACGGTCTGATACACCTCAAGAACTAGTAAGGATTATTCTCTTTCGTTTACAGAAACCCTGTTACAGGCACCCCCGTACTCTATTTAATGGATTCCGGAAGTTTATAAAACAATACTCATGAACGCAGCTGCAGCAGCAGAGGTATTACTATCACGTTGACAATATCTGAACCACTATGTCTATATATATAAAGCTCTATACCACCTCATACACTGATCGTACCTTGATCTTGACAGATCATCAATATTATCTGTTTCCACGACATATAACATCTTACTATTCTCGCCAAATGCCAAAAGGTCTAACCGTTTGATTAAAGATACTACGTTTTAAAAAACCTTTCCCAAAATTAAAAACTGCATTGTTAGTTTGTATCTATTGTAGAGAAACACTGGAAATGGGCCCCTCTCCGGCTATTTATGGTTAGTCGTTAGTCACCTAACTTGTGTATTTAGTTAATAGTTTCGAAACCTGTACGCTTATTTTGCATCCTTTCGAAACGTTTTAATTTTTCTTGATTGTTATTGTGTTTGTGGTAGAAACTGGATACATACGCCATGATATTGATTTATGCAATCGAGTTACGATAGAACGCAATTTCTGCAGTATGCAACCGGGACGGCGGACCCGTTCTAATTCTAGTTGCTCAGATGTACCCAATACACCAATACCAATTCTTTGTTGTACATTGTAGTTAATTTGACACCAACCAGTACCTAAACTACCTATCTAACGATCCATTCCTTAATTATCGGTCTCAACTAACCTGAGCTTACTTTACAAGTTAGTTTGTACTTCACTCCCTATATTCGTTGAAATCAATATCAAATTGGTTTTAATTCAGTAGTCCAAATCACGTGTTGTTTTGCTTATAGTACAGAATACTCTTGCGACAAGTAATCTAGTAGGCACTCACGGTGCAATGAATAGTATCACGACGCGTGTTTATAGGTTAACCGTGCAAGTATCACGGCGCGATGTAAAGGTTACCGCGTTTTTAGGTTACACTTACGGGGGGCGCGTTGTTTAGGTTACCCGTGATTTTTACGATGGGTCTGCCGGCCGTGTGTCACATGTCAATGCAAGTGTTAAAACGGCCGATTTTAACCGCAGGTGTAAAAATGAGTTATTTATAGTATTACACACCTCCAATTGATATATAGACGTAATGATGTCGCACGAATTCTACATGTGACATTGATTCACAACCTACAGGTGATTTAGAATTATCATTGTCTCACGTAAGCAATAAACTGAATAATATAAAATATATAGTTATTAATTATAGGTTTACGTACACGGTCTAGGGTCACGGTTCAGTCTTACTTTCTGCAGTTTCTTAATATAATATCATGATAATAAGACATACAACGTTTACATAATCAGTATTGCAGTATCATTTCTTGAATTTTTTATCTGTTAGTAATTATTTATTAGTATCAGTTGTGTAGTATTTAAAAAGTGGTGATCAAGAAAAATAAGCATATAATCGCTACTTGATAATGTTTTACCAAAATCCATTCATAATTCCATACACATATTTCAAATGTATCTGAAGAATAAATATTCAAAGATAAGCCTATAATGATATATGTGATCGTAAATTACTCTGGATTTCTTGCCCGATGAGGTCTTTTGAAAAAAATTAGAACGTGCGCGCAATCGAGACATCCCGAACGATATTATTAATTTTATAACGCAATCTTAATATAGTATAATAATGTAGAAACTTTAACTTTGTCTACGATTATACTGCTCCCTTCCTTAAAAGGCTTCCTAGAAAAAAGGCAGTGGCACTCAAGCCTCAAATCGTATATCTTAAATGCTTCCCAAAAAAAAAATGTTGGAATATCAACCGAGTTAATTTTGCTCAAATTCAGAATCAAAATAGTATAAGTTCACCCACATTATACAAACACGTCTCACCAACTGATGACTGAAAACCCAGATATTCATTTCTCTAGGAAACCAAACCACCCGATTAGATGTCGCATATTCACCTTAAATCAAATATAAAACAGCACCATTTACTGGCAGTATCTGAAATACTGCAATAAATTTTTTAATTTTTGTAATATTCAAACGCAACTCGTAGAAAATGGTTAAATGGCTCAATCATCATGGATCTGGGAGATGGTCCACGTTATAATGAGGCGCGCACGATGTGGTCTCTGTATACTCCAAATCACGTGGTTATGATAAGGACATAATAGATCTAATTCTGCATGTAATTGAATATAATTTATGAAATTCTTAAATCTTAATACGTAGAAATTCAGCTTATCGTATGTTTTCTTCAGTATTTACTATTTGATAATAATAATTTATTACCGAGAAGAATTATTAAAAGTTAAGCTTATGAGAAATCAGCTGTCAAGTAATATTGATCCATTAATATAATATTCACAGATTCTAGACCCCATATATTTTATAACGGCTTACGGCCAGACAGATTGGATAGTTTACGAGTTCCAGCCTCAGAGATATGCACGGATCAAATTTGTATCTACATCATCCCTCATCCCAAGACCCAAATAATAGTAACTTTTAACTCATCAAGAGCTGTGCTCAAGTCTTTACGTCACTTATTACACTATACCTATAAACTGTTTCGTGACGACGCGAACCTCCATAAAATTTAAAGTAAGGCCGCGGTGAATTTGCATAAATATTATGCAATATATATCATAATACTACGAATATTGTCCATTATCTACAGGCCTTTCCCCTGCGTCTCCACTTCTATATCAACTGAGTGTTGTATTTTGACAAAAAACGCTGAATTATAACATATTCTCGTCTTAATTTATATCGTACCTCTGTCCTGTGCGAATAATCATACCCAAACAAGAAGGTGAATAAAGTATACACACACCTTTCTCTATAATATCTAATCATCTGTATTATACTTACAGAGCTAAGTCCTACATAAGGTTGCAGTAATGTGATCTACGACCTACTTGAACTCTATCCAACGGTACCAGGGTGGCAATTGGCCATTAGAGCATTACATGTAACGTTTTGGGC